TTTTTAGTTCCATATGATACCTATTTTAAATCATTATTATATGATAACACAACTAGTGCCTGGGGCATCGTGCCTTCAGGCAAATTGCTGGAACTTCCCGTACCAAAAAGTTTTTAAAAAAGATTCAATTTTTTTATAACTTTGAAAAAAAGTAGATTTTTGAGATTTTTTATTTTTTTTTTAAAAAATTGACCTTTGAAAATTTCCAGTTTTTTTATACTTTGAGATATTTTAGAAATTTTGCATTTTTTCAAACCTATACGTTAACGTATAGCGATTGGTTTAAAATATTTCATTAATTAGCTAATAATTAGCTGCGTAGAAACGAAATATCGAAACGCGTGGGCGCCGCGTTGCAGTGTAACGGATATCCATTGGTACGGAACACATAAAAATGTAAACAAAATTTGTTCTTATTATTAAAATATCTATAAAATATGTGATAATTTGAAGTGCATATGTTTAATGATAATTTTTGTCTGCCAAATGGCATTCTTTTTTACTTTTTTTAATGCATCACCGAAGCCACTAGTCCTGCCTTTCCATAAAATTTTATCAGTCCTTTATGTTGTCAATACAAATAAAATGTTTTTTTGAATCATTCAAAAACGTTCAAAAAATTAAAAAAAATTCAAAATATAATATAAGTCGTTTTTTCGAAAAATTCAGAATTTTTTAAAAAAAATCTATTATTTCAGTTTTAACACGTTGACGGACAATTGCGGCTATAGCCGTCAAAGTGAAGTTCACAATGTGGCATGACTGCTATAGCCGTCCAAAATGAAACGGTCGTTTTTAGACACTACGGCTATAGCAGCACAAATGTGCACTTACTGGCGTATACGTAGAAGCATAGTGTCGTGTTTTGAAAACATCTTTTTAGGTTGAAGTTCATATATTATTTCACCTGTTATACGAGTTGCAGATTCAGTATGCACATGGTTGTGAATGGAGTAGTGCGATCGTGTTTTCTATTGAATTTATAGTTCTTATTGATACGTTTAACGATATTTATTATTATTTATATAACTATACTGGTATGTATTTGTTTATTATTCATTTTATACTTTAAACAGAAAAGGTAATCTTTCATCTACTGGATGTAGCAGTATGGAATTCTTTCTACATCTTTAAAGAAAAGACAGGTTCTCAAATGAAGTATATAGAGTACAGGGAAGCAATCATACGATCTCTAACTGGTATAGATAATGAACGGGATGGAAGAACTTTGGTTCAATTTAAACGTGCACAAATCCAAACCAATGAAATCAACAACAATGGAACACAGCATTTTCCTGAGAAGATTTTACCTCCTGAAAATTATCAGCGAAAAACATATTTTCAGCGTTGTAAACAATGTTATAAACAGGGAATAAGGAAGGAAACATCATATTGCTGCAAGAATTGCATGTCAAAACCTGCACTGTGTCCTGCACCATGCTTTGAAACATGGCATACTGAAAATAATGTATAATAATTATAAAATTATAATAAATTTTTTTGTCATTTATTTATTTTTGTTTGATTAAGAACTAACATTTCGTGTAAAACTCCCAAAAATACTTTGTTGCATACAAAAATTGCTTGTTTGAACCATTAAACCTGTCATTTACGTTTTTAAATTTTTGCTGTTATAGCCGCAACCTAATTAAAGGTACTAAATTAATCAAAATTAAGTTTATTTAAGCAGAAAGAGTAAAACTATACTTCTAACATTCTAAAAATCACAAAAACATATAGTGTCAATTTTCGAACTTCGCTTGTTTCTACTGTCCGTCAAAGTGTTAAAAAAAATTAAAGTTATTTTTTTTTTTTTTGATACGGGAGTTCCTGCAATTTGACTTAAGGCACAATGCCATACACCACAAGTTTATAGTTATTTTAGAATTACTCAATAATAACATATTGAGTGTCGGAAAGCATAAATAAAAATTGTCAATATTATTTATAAGTGATTATTTATTAAGAATAGAATGATAGATTCACCATTGCCATTTCAGACCGCAGTGCCCGAAATGGGCTATTTTCAATTGGAAACATATTTTTGATCTAAATTTTCAAGTAAAAACTTATATCACTATAAGATTGATGTCCAGAGCGAGGACTTAACGCACGACCTTGTTAAGACCTCCGACATCTCTCCAATAACACCGGACTCCACTAATCTCGCTCAACAGGCACGAGTTCCTTCCGTGCAACCTATAAATGAATTTAGTAACTAAATATGGTTGTAAAAAGTTTTAATACAAGTTTTATTATTGCCTTGGAAATATGTTCATTGCTGGCGAAGATTTTAATGCCAAACACACATTCTGGGGGTCGAGATTGATCACCCCGAGAGGCCGACAATTATATAATGCGATTAGTAATAATGACCTCAGAGCATTCTCAACGGGTGAGCCCACTTACTGGCCAAGTGACTTAAACAAAATTCCAGATCTTATTGATTTTTTCATCACAAGAAACATTAAAAAAAAACTGTACAGAATTAAAATCAAGCTTGGACCTAAACTCCGACCACACGCCTATAATCCTTCAATACTCGACTCAAACACCGGCCAAAATCTCAAGTTCAATCACAAATAAATTCACAGACTGGAACCTTTTCCAAAAAGAGGTAGAAAATAATATAACTTGAAATACTCGTCTGAAAAGCGAAACTGATTGAAAATTGAATAATGGACTAAAAACTTTACAAATATAATTCTTGAAGCAGCGAAGACATCAACTCCTCAAATGGATCATTCAATTGACATTAGAAAAACTATAGCGCATAAAAGAAAACTCCGAAAAGTTTGGCAAATTACCAGACCACCCAAAGACAAACAAAAATTCAACAGAGCGTGCAGAGATCTCAAAACATTAATAATAAATTATAAAAATGATTCTTTTAAAAATTATCTGCATAATCTTTCAGGAAGCAGTGATACAAATTATTCTCTCTGGAGAGCGACCAAAAAACTAAAACGACCCACTATACCTATTCTACCATTAAGAAAATCAGATGGTTCTTGGGCAAGAAGTCCTAAAGAAAAAACTGATGAATTTGCCGAACATTTACGAGTCACTTTCAGCCCTACCCGAGTACATGCGATCCAAATGATACTACGTTTATCTACGAGTTTCTACAGTACACGCCGTCGACTGTAACCCAGCCTGTTAAACGTTTCACAGTGAATGAAGTAAAGCAACAAATCCTGAAAGCAAATCTCCAGGGCCAGACAAGATTTCTATCACAATGTTGAAAAAATTACCCGATAAAGCTATGAGAATGATTACAATAATTTTCAACTCAATGCTGAGGCTAAAAACTTTTACCCAGGCATGGAAAATAGCAAAAATCATTTTGGATACTAAACCAGGAAATGACCCTCATCTCGTTTCATCTTACAGGCCGATCAGTTTGCTGCCTTGCATTTCAAAACTTTTTAAAAAACTGATTCTTTGGCGAATCAAAGTTATCCTGCAGGTTCAGTATCTAATCCCAAGCCAACAATTCGGGTTCCGCGACCAACATTCTACTATAGAGCAAGTTCATAGGATTGTAAACATAATCAACAACGCATTCCATAGAAAAGAGTATTGTTCTGCAGCCTTCTTAGATCTCACGAAGGCATTTGACAAAGTCTGGCACACAGGCCTAATGTACAAAGTAAAAAGATGTCTTCCAGATACTTTATTTCAACTGATAAAATTTTATCTACAAAATAGAAAATTTTTCGTCAGTATAGCTAATACAGATTCTAATATCACTAATATAAATTCCGGGGTGCCTCAAGGGAGCGTCCTCGCCCCTACATTATTTTTAATTTATACAACAGATTTTTAAATCTCTACGGACACAAGTGTAGCCACATTTGCTGATGATACATGTATTATCGCCGTGAACAAAGATCCATTGGCAGCATCGTGCAGTCTTCAGCAACATCTCAACAAAGCTGAAAAATGGTTTTCACTGTGGCGAATAGAGGTCAACAGCTCAAAATCGGTCCATGTAACATTCACACTACGCAATCAAACATGCCCTGCAGTTGAACTTAACAATACAATGATTCCTCCCAAAGGAAAAATACCTTGGCATCCACCTGGATAGGAAATTAAATTAGAAACAACATATAATTAATAAAAAACAGCAATTAGATCAAATCTTTAAAAAAATTTACTGGCTACTAAATAAAAATTCTGAATTCTCAGTTTAAATAAACTGTTAATATACAAGGTGGTACTCAAGCCCATATGGACCAACGGTCTCCAACTTTGGGGTACAGCAAAAAAAAAGCAATCTAAACATCATCCAACGTGCTCAAATCGTCATGCCATTTTTTAGTATTCATAGGAATTCGCATCTGCAACCTGCAAGCCGAGCGTTTACCGCTTCGACTACGCTCGATGTCAACAATTTGTACTTAAATTTATAACTTATGATGTCTTTTACGCCTTGGTCTCCATAGAACGCGATAAAAATGCTGAAATTTGTACTAATTTGGAGTCTCTCATAGCGCGGGTCCCATACAACGCTTTAGCAAGTTTTCATAGAACGTACTACGAATTAGCCTGGATTCTATGTTAAATCCGAGATTTTTATATCACGATTCCCATACTACACGGTACGCACTTGCCGCGTTAACGGAGGGTTGACTGTATATATCATATGGGGTGCTCGTGTGGTGCGAATAATAGATTGCCACAAATTTTTAGATTGTCACGTGGTGACAATGCGCACTACCAATTCACACCTCCGCATAAGTAAATCATAATAACTACATAGTAACAAACCACAAAGATAAAAAAGAATATTGTATTCTTATTTGATCCCATCGTTTAGTAAATATACAGTTTTGTGCCATAATGATATTATTTAATCGAATCACTGAAATGTAATCAAGCAAAATAATAACAAAAGTGGCAAATGACAATCAATAAGCATAACCTCACTATTCTTGGACAATACGTATATCGCAGCTCAAAGCAGTGGTTTGTCAACGTATTGATTTGCAGTGGTGCCTACATCTACGCGTGCCGCATTTCTGCATGTTTAAATTCTACAGTGATATAAAATTAAAATGATTAATTAATAAACAATTTTAAATAACATAAAAGTTGATTTGAAATATTCATAGCGATGTACAATTCGTATATCTGCTATAAAATTGTTCGAGATAAAGTATTTGCTCGAGTCGGAATCGTCGGAATCGTCGGAATTGAAAGCGAGCTCGCGGACGCATGTACATGTACCTCATCCGTGTGCGCACGTCATTTTGCTCTTGGCGCATAGCACACGATATAGCGCGAGACACTTGATGCTATCCCTTTCGTTCGCATTGATTGGCATTCTCTGGATGCGATGCGCTATATATTATCGTAGCAAAATTCATACCATACGATTTCTAGGTGAGGTTTTTCGTTTTGCAGTGGCTTGTGAGTACTAGGCGAGAATTTTAAATGTCATGAATTATCAGCGCGGGTCTTTGCGTATCTGTCAAAAACATCAATCACGGAGAGCAACAGTTTCTGTGCAATAAGCGTTTTATTTACAATTCGAATCTGATAGTGCCAAAAGCGAAGTTTGGAATTATGAATGTTGTGTTGAAAAAATGAAGAAATTTACATTTAAAGGGGTCTTAGACGGATTTCGATCTTCTGTGCAGGCCCAACAAAGATCGGATCAGGAGATTCAGGAGAACCTTCGCACTGAACATTTCACATTAAAAAAGGTACTTTTATGAATTCCAACACGTTAACTTATACTATTAACATCGTTAAATATAATATTGAATGTTGCATGACACCTGACAAATAGAGATTTTTTTTTTATTTTGATTTTTCGGCTGTTGAATGAAATTGTTTTATTCTACATGCCTTTATTAAAAAATACCTTCGTGGATTATGAGTTTTTATTAATTATAAATGTATTTTACAAATATAATCGTATTTATCTATAGAACGAATCACACAATGAAATAATGTAATAAAAATAACTGGAATATTTACTACGTTAAAATATGTTTTTGTCGTAGTTACTATATTTTGTGTATACCCAAAGAAAACCATCGATTTCTGAAGTTATTTGTACCGATCCTTAGGGACCTCTGAGATTTTTTTTTGTAGTTTATAATTCCTCATAGTTTTAACTAAAAAATACTCATGAAGTTGTAAATAACAAATTTATTATAAAAAGCGAAACATCGAGCAGTTACACCACATATTCTTTCGACATTTAAATTTTTAAAATTATTTGTTTGTTTGTATATTCTAACTATATGTATAAGAACTAACTGCATTTTTTTATACAAATTTTAACCGCTGAACTGTTTTACTTCAAAATGTAGAAAACATGTTATCAAATTTAGTCCTACGTCTTTGAATTGTATGATTTTTTTATTGTGCTCGTTAAATTTAAAATTGATAATTCTGAGCGTGCGATTATCTGCTTTGCTCCTGTACTACTTAGATTTTTTCGTCTAATTATAGTATTATATAACCTTTTGAATTTGAAATAAAAGATTTTAAAACAACGTTCAAGATTTTCAAGAAATTGTAACTGCTCTAAAATAACACACATTAATGTTTCCTTTCAGGCCTAATGCGTCATTTCACTGAAAAATTTAATTGTTATTATTTTATTTAAATCGTTTTTTTTAATACTTCATGATTGATTTTTTTAAAAGTTTAATCTATCCGGTAATATTGGCAACATAATGATATTTTTCGGAATGTTTCTTCTTCTGTTCACAATTTTTTAGTTATTCTTGCTAACTTCAAATATAATAGGTCACTCAATAAGTCCGTAGGATGATACATAGATGACGTTGCTGTGTAATAACCTATGATTTGGAGGAAGTACCAACTTCAAAAAGATATCTGTCAAAATTTCATAAAAATCTGACGGTTGGTTTACAAGTTACAGAGGTTCAAGTGACGCCACATTTGAGTTTTTCAAGAAAATAAATTCAACGCAATTTTGTGTCTTGATTTGCCATTGAATTTTGATGGGTTAAAATACAATTGCAGCCAAAGCATTGCTTGATAAATGTTATTTGGAATCAGCTCCATTGAGGCAAACGGTGGAAAAGTGGTTTGCTGATTTTAAACGAGGCTGTACAGACACTGACGATATGCTGAACGAGCGTTCAGCGTCAAAAAAAGTTCAACGAATCATTTTGGAAAACCGAAAAGTGAAATTGCGTGAAATAGCTGACACCTCGAATATATCAGAAGGCAGTGTGCACAATATTTTGCATGAATATTTGCTGTTCTCAAAGTGTGTGCCGCGTTTGCTCACAGTGGATCAAAAACGACAACGTGTCGATGATTCTGAGACCTGTTCGAAGCTTTGTAACCAAAATAAAAATGACTTTATGCATCGGTATGTGACAATGGATAAAACATGGATCCACCACCACACTCTTGAATCAAATCGGCAGTAAGCTGAGTGGGCTGCAGTTAAAGAACCGCGTCCAAAAACGCAAAAGTCGGTTGGTAAGGTTATGGCGTCTGTATTTTGGAAACCGCACGAAATTTTGTTCGACTATCTTGAGAAAGGAAAAAGAATCAACAGCGAATACTACATGGCTTATTAGTAAGTTTGACGAAAGAAATTGCCAAAAAACGGCCACAAATAAAGAAAAAAAAAATTTTCACCAAGACAATGCACCGTAACACAAGTCGATTGCAACTATGGCCAAATCACACTACTACCTATTCGCAGGCTTGAAAAAAAAGAAAGAATGCATGTTAATGAATAAAATCGAATTTTGCCAAAAATGTGTTGTTCTTAGTTATCTTACGGACTTATTGAGTGATGTGTTGAACGCCTACTGTTATTCAGAAATATGTAACACAACACAACATAATCATTCAAACAAAGCTTCTAAATATAATATAACAATATATAATAAAACATACTTTTTGTATTTTGTACATAAATTAAAGTCAACAAGACTTCTTTGCGAAATCTTATCTGTATCGTTTTTATAAAACCGTGTTGTATTTATAAATTTTATTCACTTTTTAGTGAATTACATATAGTTTTTGACTTTATTTGCATTTCATTGAATTAACTGTTTTTTAGACCAATTTAAAAATTCAAATATATTTGACAGATTTTTTAAATTGTTAGCATGCATTGGTTTTATGTGAATATCAGCCGAACAATTCCCTTGTAAAAAAAACAATTTTTACATTGAAAAACATTGAAAAACATTCAATTTTTTTGTAAATTTTTCTTAGAACACGTTCTAATTCGACTTGAAACTTCCAAAGGTCAATTCGAAATACATTAGTTGACAACCATGTTAATTATTTATTTATTTTATTTTTATTTCTTTTATTGGCCTCTGGTAAACATTTAGCCACATACATAATGTACAATATACAGGTAACATCTATATTATGTTAATCACTTATAACTTAATTTTACTATTATTAACAAACCTAATTATGTAAGGATAACAGTTCAAATTTTGCAATAATGATGTCAAATTAAAGGATTTGATCAGTGTTTTTATAGAGTGTAGTTCCTCTAACAATTTAGCCCTGCTTGCCTCAAATATACTACATTCTAGACACATTTCTACATGTGTTCAGATGTTTCGCTTGATGCTCTACAAGGACATGATTCTGACTCTATTATTCCCAGCCTTTTCAGGTGTGCAGGGAAGTTGCCATGATTAAGTCTTAGTCTTGTTATTGTTACGATAGTACCTCTGTTTTCATCTGCATATTTTCGGAACCACGGTTTCATCTTCAATTTGGGGTTGACTACCTTGTAGTATCGTCCCTTTGTTTCCGACGATCTGTTCCATTCCTCTTGCCATTTGTCCAATATTTTTTTCTTTGAATTAGTCATATAATCCTTCCTAGTGGCTAGGTTGATCATCGCTTCTTCGTTTCCTCTAGAATCAGAGTGCGATCTAGTCCATAATAATTTAACGATATACCCGTTCTCCAATATTTCATATACTAATAATTAATTCATAACTAATAAATAATTCATATTTCATATACTAATGTCTCGCTTAATCGATTAGTATGAAATAGATTTTTCAATTTATCTATGCAGCTTTTGCTATCGGTAACGATGACCACTTTCGTGACTTTGTGGATTTCGATATATTCAATTGCTTTTTTTATAGCTATTAGCTCTGCTGACCAAACTGAAACGAAATCTGGAAGTTTATATCCTATTTTTTATAAATTAAAAAAATTCTTTGCTAGATTTCAATTCATATTGCACAAATTTTATTATTTTCGATATATAGACTAGGCGCCATCGGGCCTCGAGAATGCATAATGTGAGGATCGTCAACTCTGTCTTCAAATTCTTTTACCCGAGATGCCAAATAAAGAGAACTCATGTTGTCAGCTTCTATGTTGGTCGGGTTTTCCCGTACCGGCCTCTTTCCTTTACCCGCGCTTCCATGCGTCGTAACGCTCTTTTCGATGCCTAATGTTTTTTTTTTTGATATTCATGTATATAATATAATATTTTTTATATTTACTTGTATCTAAATTTGCCATTTAAACAAAATCGATGAAAATGCCGGTACAAGTGATAAATGTTAGGAAGTGAAATTATTGTGATTGTTTGTGGATCGTTCAGTAAATAGAACTATTGTAATAACGTTGTTGTGCGGTGCGTTAGGTACGGTTGTGATATGTGGTTGTGGGTCTTGTCCTTTTCGGGTATAGATTAAACAGATGAAGAAAAATCTAAGACAAAAAACGAAAGAGAAAGAAAATTCAATAGAAAAAGATTTCTTGTTCACTTTAATACATATAACAAAGAATATGTTTTATTATATATTGTTATATTATATTTATAAGCTTAGCTTATGAATGATTATATCGTATTTCTGAGAAAAGTCATTATAAACCATTTTGGTGTTTGTACTTATTTTATATATATATATATATATATATATATATATATATATATATATATATATTATTTTTTTAACCTGTTTTTATGTCCGCGGGGTGTGTACTTAAGAACTATATTTTAGTATTTTTACCTAGACAAATGTTCAAATTACAATTTAATTTACTATTCTCCCAGATAACTGGTAAATTAACACAATTATTGCTTATAAAAAAAGTGGCACAACCGTACCCAGTCTCTCCTATTTTTGTCATCTTGTCAACTGCAGAATTATATTTTGTTCATTTTTAGAGGAATGCCGTTAAATTTTTGTTCAGTATTTTTTATAAAGAGTCCAGTCTGTATGTTTATTAGTAAGTGAACTTTGCTGCGCGTGTAGAGAACTCGGGTCAGACACCATATTTGGGCTTGGGAAGGTTAATGTTTAGGAATCCTTTGGTAACAAAAAAATCCAGATTTGGAATCTTCTTGAAGTCGCTGGGCCAAAGAGTTTTCTAGTTGATACAGGAGTTAGGTTGCATGCTATCGTTATGTTATGCAACATACGGCCTTTTGGACTAGCTAATCTAGAACATCAGGAAATGTTAACTATAAAATGCTTTGCTGAAATATTTAAAAAGTATGGTTTTTAGAAATCGGTGATCATTTTGTTCATCACGATGCCAACTTGAGAAAAAAGGTGTAATTAAGCAAGCTTCGGGATCATAAGTAAAGCATATGCATAGTTTTCGCAAAATAGTCTTTTTTTGTTGGTTGGTTGCAAACAGCAAGTATTGGCTTGAGCATATTGCTCTTTCGGTCAATAAATAATGTCACATATTACTGATTTCGTGT